TCCCGCTCCATCTTACCCTCACTCGTGAACAAGACCCCGAGATACTTAAACTCCTTCGCTTGAGGTAGACACTCCGTCCCCACCTGGAGGGAGCAATCCACCGGTTTCCGGCAGAGAACCATGGCCTCAGATTTGGAGGTGCTAACTCTCATCCCTGCCGCTTCACACTCGGCTGCAATCCGCCCCAGTGAATGCTGGAGGTCATGATCCGAGGAGGCTAACAGGACCACATCATCTGCAAATAGCAGAGAGGCGATCCCGAGACCCCCGAAACTGACGTTCTCCGCCCCCAGGCTGCGCCTAGATATCTTGTTCATGAAAATCACGAACAGGACCGGTGACAAAGGGCAGCCCTGGCGTAGGCCAACACCCACCGGGAACGTGTCTGACTTATTGCCGAGAATGCGGACACAGCTCCTACTGCAGTCGTACAGAGACCGGATCGCCCGTTGTAACGGGTCCGGCACCCCATAGTCCCGCAGCACCCCCCCACAAGACCCCCCGAGGGACCCGGTCGAAAGCCTTCTCCAAGTCCACAAAGCACATGTAGACTGGTTGGGCAAACTCCCAGAACCCCTCCAGTAGTCTTGCGAGGGTAAAGAGCTGGTCCACTGTTCCACGGCCGGGACGGAATCCACACTGCTCCTCTTGAATCTGAGGTTCGACAAGCGGTCGGAGCCTCCTTTCCAGCACCCTGGCATAAGCCTTCCCCGGGATGCTGAGTTGTGTGATACCCCGGTAATTCGAGCACACTCTCCGGTCCCCCTTTTTGAAGATGGGAACCACCACCCCGGTCTGCCATTCCATGGGCACTGATCCCGACCCCCATGCGACATTGAAGAGGCGTGTCAGCCAGGACAGCCCAACTATGTCCAGCGCCTTCAGCATCTCAGGGCAGATCTCATCCACCCCCGGCGCCTTGCCACCAAGGAGCTTTTTAACTACCTCAGCGACCTCTGCCAGGGATATGGGTGAGCCTTCCCCCTAGGTCCTCAGGCGCTGCCTCCTCTGCAGAGGACATGTTGGTCGGGTTTAGGAGTTACTCAAAGTGCTCTTTCCACCGCCCGACGATGTCCTCCGTCCGGGTTAGCAGTCCCCCCCCCCCCCTGCTGAGAACAGCCTGGGGTAAGCCCTGCTTTCCCTTCCTGAGCCGTCGGATGATTTGCCAGAACCTCCTTGAGGCCAACCGAAAGTCCTTCTCCATGGCCTCCCCGAACTCCTCCCATGCCCGAGTTTTAGCATTCGCGACCACCGCAGCTGCAGCCCTTCTGGCCTGCCGGTACCTGTCAGCTGCTTCAGGAGACCCCTGGGCCAACCAGGCCTTGAAGGTCTCCTTCAGCTTGACGGCTTCCCTCACCTCCGGTGTCCACCACCGGGTTCTCGGGTTGCCGCCACGACAGGCACCGATGACCTTCCGGCCACAGCTCCTAGCGGCCGCGTCCACAATAGAGGCTTTGAACATGGTCCATTCGGATTCCGTGTCCCCAACCTTCCTCGGGATGTGTGAGAAGTTCTTCCGGAGGTGGGAGTTAAAGACCTCCCAGACAGGGTCCTCCGCCAGACATTCCCAGTTCACCCTCACTACACGTTTGGGCTTGCCAGGTCTTTCCAACCGGTTCCCCTGCCATCTGATCCAACTCACCACCAGGTGGTGATCAGTTGACAGCTCTGCTCCTGTCTTCACCCGAGTGTCCAAGACATACGGCCGCAAATCAAATGATACGATTACAAATTCGGTCATTGATCTCCGGCCTAAGGTGTTCTGGTACCAGGTACACTTATGAGCCACCTTATGTTCGAACATAGTGTTCGTTATGGCCAAACCGTGGCAAGCACAGAAGTCCAATAACGAAACACCATTCGTGTTCAGATCGGGCAAGCCGTTCCTCCCAATCACCCCCCCGCCAGGTTTCTCCGTCATTGCCCATGTGAGCGTTGAAGTCCCCCAGGAGAACTATGGAGTCGGTAGGCGGCGCCCTTTCCAGGACCCCTCCCACTGACTCCAAGAATGCCGGATACTCCGAACTGCTGTTTGGTGCATAAGCACAAACCACAGTCAGAGCCTTGCTCCCCGCAACCCGTAGGCGCATGGAGGCGACCCTCTCGTTCTTCGGGGAGAAGTCCAACACAGCGGCGCTCAGCCGGGGTCTCGTGAGTATCCCCACTCCTGCCCGGCGCCTCTCACCCTGGGCAACTCTAGAAAAGGACAAAGTCCAACCCCTCTCCAGGAGCTTGGTTCCAGAGCCAACGCTGTGTGTGGAGGTGAGTCCAACTATATCTAGCTGGTATCGCTCCACCTCCTGCACCAGCTCCGGCTCTTTCCCCGCTAGCGAGGTGACGTTCCACGTCCCTAGAGCTAGTCTATGCCGCCGGCTATCGGCATGCCCGGGCCTCCCGCCCGACCCACCGCCCGGTCTGCATAGCACCCGACCCCGATGCTTGTCCCTGCGGGTGGTGGGTCCACAGGGTGGCTGCTCCATGGTGTTTATTCGGGCTGAGCCCGACCGGGCCCCATGGGCAAAGGCCCGGCCACCAGACGCTCGCCTACGAGCTCCCCTCCTGGGTCTGGCTCCGGGAGGGTGCCCCGGTTTCCCTGGTCCGGGCGAGGTGGCTGAAGTCCGTGGGCTAACTATCATAGGGGTCGTTTTGAACCGCTCTTAGTCTGGGCTCTCCCCTGAAACCTGTTTGCCTTGGGAGACCCTACCAGGGGCTAATGCCCCGGACAACATAGCTCCCAGGATCACTGAGCCACTCAAACTCCTCCACCACGATAAGGTGGCGATTCGCGGAGGATTTCATTATCAATGTACCAAATGTCAATATGGGTATTGAACTGAAAATGTCAAATCTGACTCTGCCTGTAGAGAAACTATTAAAATGTACAATATTTTCCTCTAAAATGAAGTGGAGTTGAAGTGGCATGTAATGGAAATACCAAAGTAAAGTAGCTCAGAGTTGTACATAAATCCTCTTCTTTGGTAAATGTAATTGGTTATTTTCCACCTCAATTTTTTTGACACTACCGCTGGGGCCCAATATTTACCGTTACACGGCCAAACAGCATGCCGAGTACAGTTTGCTCTTCGTCACTAGCTATAATATTAACTGTTACACCGGGAAACCGCATGCTGGGTACAACTCGATCCCTGCCATTGTTAGTGAGAGCTTTTGAACCCAAATGACTGCGTCATCAATGCTTATACTCTAGCATTGCTAGGGGGTGCTACTATGTCATGACAGGTGTACTGCTCATTACCAAGGAAGCGCAGCGCAGTGTCAAGTTGCAATCATCCCGGAAAGTTTTGAACGTGCACTGAACTAGTACCATTTAAACACGGAGAAGTGAAATCCAGGACAAAACACAACAGAGACTCAAAAGCAACAAATCCAACCAGCTTGATCCATTCTCTCTCTCTCTCTCTCTCTCTCTGACTCTCTCTCTCACTCAGTGACCATGAGTTGCTGTAAGAAGAAAAGTAATCCAACGGAAGCTCTTCAGATGCTCTCCTCCACCCGCCTCAGCCTCAAGAGTCTGGCCACCAAAGCTAAGGTACAGCCTCCCCCCCCCCCCACACACACTCACACACTTCCCATGACTCAAGGCTGATGGTAGAGCGCATGGCAACAAAGACGTCACTGCCTTTTATTCCTGTTTTCTTGCGTCGGTGTCATAAAGGAAATGTCGACCACAAACTGTAAAATGTAGAGGACAGATGTGACTTTCTTCAACAGAAATACAGCAGAACATATGCAATCTATAGAGCTATAGCTGCCTCTTGCTTGATAATACTGCAGGAGCTGGCATTGAAGTATCATGTCCATAGTTTCTCTATGAAGCCGTGGCTCTTTATCTGCACAACAAGCAGGTAAAGAGTGGCACCAGGGAGCTCACGTAGACTATCCACAACACTTTTACTGGGCCACATCATTAAAGTTGTCGGTCTAAACAGGTCCATTAAGACAAATGGTGGAGATGCAGATTTACAAGCATACAACACCCAGGTCATCCAGGGTGGAATCTTGAGTGATTCATGGTCTGAAACCTCAAGATGAGAACCCAACGCAGTATTGATACTGTGAAAACTGTACACCCGATGAGTGCTACAACATCATGTTACAATGTTATGAGAATGGATATTGTACATATGGTTTTAGGCATAACTTTAGAGAAACAAAGGAGAATCTTTAGGATCAACAGAGGGTAATTCAGTACTCCTCAGGACTGCCACTGACAAAAGGTTCAAACATTATTTTGCTGTCAACTTCAAAGAACTTGATAATTAATTTGTAACTAGATAAACCAGCTACATTGCTTTGATACATTTTATCATTAAAAATGAATGATAAAGAGGAACTGTATTTATTGCTGAATGTAGTCGTATACTTTAACAATAAAAACCATGGTACGTCTCCTCTGACCAAGCTGAGGATAGCAGATCTCCCGTACATTGATCTTGATGACAGCTATCGGTCTCTCTCCGGCTGCTGATCTAACATTACATTAGCTAATAATATAGTTTCAATGATTGAGCAGAGGAGTTGCTGCTCAGCTCACACTGTGCCAGAGGTCCTAAATAAGCTGATTCAATGTTGATGTGATGTGCTTTAAAGTATAACTGAAGGATTCCAACTCTTAAGTCCACTCTCTGAATGAATGCATGGTAACAGCATATTAAGGCACGGAATCTGCTTCTCTGCACATCCAAATCATTCACTGTTAATAAGTCCAAAATTAACAATGTTGACAATTTGACCCTTCAATGCATTACATTATTATTTTACCTTTGTCCTCTGCATTACTTTGTTCCAGCAAACGCACACAGATGTGGCGACGGGTCAGATCCACGCCGAGCTGCAGGACGGTGTCGCTGCTCTGGAACAACTCATCACAGAGCTGCAGGAGCTGAGCGGGAAGCTGCGTGACCAATCACAGTGACCGTCAGCTGAAGGCTCGCCAGCAGGAAAGACTCATCACAGACAGACACTCAGCTGCAGTCATCAGCCTGTATGAGTTTCTCATGTGACAACTGAGAATAACAATAGATCAAATTAGAAATGAAAAGCCAAAGGTCTCATTTTGTAATTGTGATGTTTTTATACCTCTATATCCACATTGGAATGTAAACAATGACTGTAAGGCATCAAATAGTAAAATATTTAAAATTGTGAATGCTTGCTTTTGTTTTTTCTGGGGCATTAGATAAAGTAAATGATTTAGTTGTTTAAGTGTTACATTTGCTTACATTGTAGACAAAGAGCTGCCTCTCCTCACTTTGAGGCTAGTTTACTGTACTTCTGCAGGCTGATCTGCTACCTCTGAGTTAAAGTCTGTTATATTTTACAAGTTCTGTTGCCATGAATGCATTTGTGTGCAGTATTCTAGAGTAGCTTACCAGCAGCTAAAGATGTAGGTTTTGCTCACTGTCGTGGTTTGATTTCTTACCTTGCTGCAGTGATGTAAAGTGTACTCCAAGGTGACTCAGTACAATGTGACATCACTATTGTTCACTGTGCCATTGGTGTGGGAAGGATCAGATTAGAATCTGATGTGCAGGTGGCGCTTTGTACGGCAGCCTCTGCCATCAGTGTATGAATAAGTGAGTGGCTGAATATTGACATGTAGTGTTAAAGCGCTTTGAGCGGTCGGAAGACTAGAAAGCCGTTTACCATTACCAAGTGCACCAGTGTGCATTTCTGTCAAAGATGCAGTGGTCTTGAGACTTTAAACCAGAGAGGGCAATGAAACAGATGTTAAAGATAAGGTTCACAATTTTTCAAGTCTGTCTTAAAACCATTGAAACGGAAGCATATTAAGATCCCCTCTTAAATGGCTTCCAAATGGAAATCCTTGTTTTGTGCGAAACTAATCCAAAGCTCATCTAAAGCCAACATGAGGCTTCAAGAGTCAGTTTGTCAAATATAGATATCTTCCAAAGTTAGCCTTTAGATTACTCTTAAACCTGACTGAAGATTTGAGAACTTATCAGCACGATGACATTCGTCAGTGCATTCCTTAATGCATATGACAAAACTGAATCTTTGACCTGTTTTCTGACCTGCTGTATCTATGGTTAAGTTAAGGAAATGATAGGGCCATGGTAAAATGATTGGAATGCATTCATGGAAACAGCAGCATAATCCCGTCAAGTCATTTTTATTTATATAGCCCGATATCACAAATTTTCCTCAAAGGGTTTTACAATCTGTACAACATATGAAAACCTCTGTCCTTTGGCTTTGCTTTGGACAAGGAAAAAAACCTTAACAGTAATAAAATAGACAAAACCTCAGGAAGAGCCACTGAGGAGGGATCCCTCTCTCTAGACCTGCGATAGATGTTTGGATTGTCTTTACTGTAAAACAAATGACAAAAAAAGGAATTGGAATGTAAACGTATATGAAGAAATGGATGTTGTAGTCCCATGCTTTGTTTACCTATTCCTAGTCACCCCAATAAGATGCTACTTCTGTACCTTCTGTCTGTTGCCATTTTGCCAGGAGTTTGTTGATACTTCTGTAGCTCCTCTTGCTAAATGGGAGATATTTTAACTGTCACAAATTCACATTATCCCTGAATTGTAATACAATTCTGAACAGGATTCAAACACAGCTTTGGCAACAATCACACAACTTATTTTGCCAATGAGGTCACCTTTTTGGACACTCCATTTTAGAGTTTACTACTCTGCACCAACTCCACTTTGTGTGCTCAGCTATTAAAAACCAGAGTGCACACTGATGCTCTGAGAGATCATTTCCTCATTTCCCGAGAGATGGTGAGTACACACACACACACGCAGTCAGAGGCCAGCTCATCCTGCTGCCCTGCAGTTAGTGCAGGAAGGATCCCACAATTGCCCTTCCAATTTGTTTCCTCACTCAGCAGGAAATGACCTTGGCATTGCTCAGGGTTTTTATCTTGCTTCTTTTTTTTTTTACTACAGTGGAGCTTGTGTTTTATTTTTTCTGGACCATTTCATCACAGCACACAGAGCCTCTGCTTTGAAGGGAAAGCCTATTGTGTCAGACTGATAAGAATGGAAAGGACTTGTTTAAGATAAGGATACGTAAATGCTTTAATGAAAGCCACTGTTCATGGATGATATGGCTGTTATCGTGAGGGATTGGAAAGCTACAGCAATGTGTAACGTACTGCATGTTGGATATATTGTAGTACTTAAAGGTACTGGTTAGTGTTTTCCCATTGCTTCAGATATCTGCCTAGCATGCTATATGAAGTAACACTCAGGTTGGGGGGCATTAAATCCACATTCCCAGCCTCACACACACCAGTCATGGAATGAAAAGGGCACAAAATAATGACCCATTTCAGGCCCCGTATCATTCATTCATCACCACATTGTATCACAGGGTCAGTCAGAAGTGGTGACTAATGTTCTATCATTTTCCCAGAATGCTATTTCTAGATCAACCATATAAGAGTGATTTGCTGCCGTTGTCATCACTTAGAGGAGAGCTTTGATAGAAGCAAATACAAGTTAGCTTGTTCTGCCCCAGACTCACTCAGAATATACAGAATTCTTCCTCATTGGACTAACGCTGAAGCACTGACGTCACCGCTCACAAAAGTAGCATTACATCACATTTGAGTTAACTAGGAGAGAAACCCTTTCAGTTTGGACAGATTGTCATGTAAGGGTTGTTTCATGACGATTTTCTTTTCTTTTTTTAAAAACTGGATCAGAATTATTTTCCATATAGAATAGTTCCATGTGTGGGACATTTGAATGGGACATTGTGTAGTTCTGATCGATATGTTCAACATTTGTTGGAATTTATTGATGAAGTCTTGTCACATCAGGCCTTTTTAATAGATTACGTTTTCATTTTGTTAAAGACTAACCCTTCATTGTGTACTTTGTGAATGTTTTTACACTTACTGTAGATGATTACAATGAAACGTGTTGATATAAGCTCCGTATCACTCTATGATACCAAAAAAGTCTGTCAATTATCTGAGCAAAAACAACTTGATATGATGTATTGATACTCCTAAATGAACCCCTAAATGCACAATCATTGCTAAATATCATTGTTTCATGTTTTTCCAGTAATGGTGAAATGGTATTGAGGTGGAATGACCCTGATTATTTATTACATGTTAAATATTTAAGATTTTTTTTCTGCCACTTGGAGGCACCAAAAGCAAGAATTAACACAGTATATAATCAGCTTTTATGTTAATATGGTGAACTTGTTAGAAAATGGTTGCTTATTTACACATCCAGCATTTATGGAACAATTCAAATTCATTTGGAGTTGTTTTTCTAATCACCTGATAAATGTAAGCCCAATATTCTGTCTCTTTTAGCTGTTTTTGGTCTCTACCAACTCCTGAGATTCTCCAGTATGGTCACCAGCTAGGCGCTCACTATGTCTGCTTGCTGTGACTGAATATGACACTGAATGCAGTGACATTGAACCAGCGCAGTACAGTTGTGGGCCTGACATTTAAACATGAGCTGAAACTCTCTATTCAGCTCTCAGCTCTGTAAAGGGGAGCTGGAAAGTCACATGACAATTCTCTGTAAGTTCATCACAACGAGCAACCCCTTTCACATCGTCACATTGTTTCAACATTGGTATGAATTATATTGTTATCATAAAATATTGATTATAGCTGCTTTAATCATGCCATAGTGTTTAATGGAACTCTGACCCTGTCTCTGCCATAAATTATCCAATCACGTCTTGTTAGACAACACAGATAATGCCTACCAGCTTGTGAGTTATTAAACAAAATACCTTGCATAATGAGGTCTAACACATCTCTTGGATGCAAACCCAGGTCAGGATGTAGGCCTACATTATTTTCCCCTGAAATATTTCATGTGTCCATGTGCCTGCTGGATATGTTTAATAGGCTGATCTGACATAAAGAAGCATGAATCTAATTATTTTTGGCCACCTTTTGGGGGCTGTGGAGGAAGCTGTAACAACACATCTACATATTATCAACTGATTAAGTTGTTCTGATGAACATGTTAGCAATAGCCTGTTAAAAACATCCAGCAAACACATCAACATTAACAGATTGATTTTTGCTCTGTTTTGGTCTCTTTAGCTGCTAAATGCTCCACTGTGTTCACCAGCTAGTCTCTAGCTGTATCTGGCAAATATTTGCTGCTGGGCTGGTAGTGTACAGTGGGTTGATCAGAGCTTTTTCACTGAAAACAACTGCCTGCTGCCGCTGAGATTGACTCAAAACAGTGAAGTTGTTAGTAATTAAACCAAAACACTGATCTGTCTGAAAAATGCTAAAAAGTTCTGTAGAAATGAAGGAAACTGCAGAATCGGGTAATAATTATCTGTTTGTCTTAAAATATTGAACCAGGACCACAGAGGAAAGACTTGACACATTTGTCAAGTCGGTTTTATCTATATAGCACTAAAACACAACAGAAGTTATCTCAAGACACTTTCCATATAAAGCAGCTCTAGACCATACTCTCATACCAAGGTTGAGCCGGTGGCTCACAGCTAACAGTGCAAACATCGACAATACTGCTGGTGGGGGGGGGGGGCTGTAACCACCGTTTGAGAGCAGTGCAAAGCGGTGGCCATAAACTAGCCAGCGGGGCACTCTCACATGCACCAACATGCACTAAAAGCATATGCGGCCGGCCCGGCTATGTAAACTACGAACGGAGAGGCTCGAATTACAACAATTACAGAGGGAGAGCAACTTCATTCTCTGCTCAGAAAGACATTATTCAACTATATCTTTACATTGCAAATAGTTGTTTGCTGTTATATTGATGCACTGAATATTTAATTTACCCAACATTCACACAGAGAGAGAGAGCGAGAGAGATGCACATCAAGAACAATTATAACAATACCTTATATTAACAAAACGATTATATGTGTTGTTCTGGGGTCAGCTACAAATTACATATATTGTTGTTTAATTTGGAGGACTTAAGATAGGTTCACACCAACCCTCACCTTATCATCAGAGGCCCCAACAAGTAGTTGAAGCTTAGTCTCTGCAGCCAAATATGCCTTCAGCTCTTAATGATGATGCCAACATCCAGTCACAGGTCATATTGCTGACTGGTTATGGAGCTCATTCACACAAACAAGTAGTGACCACAAATGAGATCTGAGTAAAGAAGAAACAAAAACACAGAACATGATTTCATCATATATACATAATTTATCTCCTCCTATTGAACCTTCCTACACCTGTTTCAAACATGTTTGTCCTTGATGAAAGCAGTCTCCGTGTGGATGACTCAGATCCAGGCTGACTGAATGAATGAACTCTCTTCCCGGATTTTAAAATGTTGCATCATCTGCAATTACGCATCATGACTGCAGCCCTCCTCAGAGCCTTGCCATGTCTTTCCCCACAAGTTTGGCAAAGGGCTCCATGCCTCCACCCTCTTTCCCAAGGAAGCTGTCTGTCACAGTCTGTCTCTAGGTTCTGCTAACCATCACATTTCATGGGCCCAAATGCAGCAGCAGGTTCCACAGCCCAGATCTGTCTCACAAGCACATAACCACTAACAAACAAAAGCACACACTTTCCATCCATGTTCTGTGAGGGAAAGTTGTTTGGTTAAATGTGTGAAAGTTGTCAACCAAAATGAGTACACATATTACTTCATTGATCTGATTAAATAGATGAAAGAAATAAACACGAGTCGGGATATGGGGCGCATGCTGAATCAATTTATTGTTTACCCACAATTGTGCCTACTTGGCGGCATGTGGTCGAGGAAAACAGCAAAAAATCCAGGGTGGGTGCAGATATTTGTCAAAAAGTTGAAATTTTTGGTTACAGGGGAAGTATGTGGTGGGATAAAAGATGCCAAGCAACTGTTATTTGTTAAAACACAGGGATCAGATATATTAACAATGTGTATGCACAAAACCCATGTACGCAACATTATCCATGCATTAAATGTTTTATAAAAGGGTTATAAGGAATATATGCTCTTTACCATACTATCAGACATTGTGCATATGGTTCCTGGAATTTGTCTTTCAAGGTGCTATAAGTGATTTGGAGCATTTCTATTGCCTCTCAACGCGGCGACGGCTAGGATGGTGGCTCGCAGCGTTAACAGTGCAAACTATAGCAAACGTAGAGCTAACAGTGTTAGGAGGGTGGGTGCATGAACATGCACTAAACTCAGCACTGACGCTGCTGGAGAGCGATCTCATTCTCTGCTTAGGTAAACATTACTCCACTATATCTTAGATCTAGAAAATATAGCCAAATATGTGTGAAAAGGATGGACTGGTACATATGAAATGTTTCGGATGAGCACCAGATAGTTTCCTGTTTTTAGGCAGTTTTTCATGTGCATCAAAACATTTAACATATGTTTTTTTGTGTCCTCATAAGAGCTCAGTAGTATGCCATGAAGTAGGTGCCCAGAGTTTACCACATTGAAAAAAAGGAGGTAATTAAGTGAAATGTCTGTAGCTGTGTGGCCATGGGAGGTGTCTGGTCTGACAGGGATCCTGACACTAACCCACACACACGTACACACACTCCAACACACACAAGTACTCCGTTGCGCTTATTTCATAAACATGTGGCGGTTAAGCGCGGCCTCCATTGTGTGTCACTTACGAGACTACATCCGCCATTTTTCTCTTTTTCTCTCTCCTACACGCACACAAACACACACACACACACACACACACACACACACACACACACACACACCCACCCATCACTACCTGAATGCTTGTTGCTTCTAGGTAGTATGCTTGTAGTTGTAGATGTTTGTTGACCTATAATATTATTGACTTTGATCGGTGTTGTTAAAGAGAAATAAACTCTGTTCTAGTTTTAAAGAGCAGTTTTCTGTGATTATTTTGTTGGTTGTTATAATCAGTGCTCAGATTCTGACCTTCACTGTTCACTCTGAATGTGGAATAGTTCTTTGACTTTGACATTTTGAGTAAACACCAATTTTATATCCACAGTTTGGTTATTGGTTCCTGATCCCAGGGTAGTGCCCCGTTATTATTATTTGTTACTAATCATATTTGTATTTATATTAATATCAATCATTTTGTTGATATCAATAATTTTATTGTCATCCTTGCTAATAAAATCCCCCACACTCTCACAGAGGAGAGTATGCATTTTTAGCCTGAGTATGTGCATGATTAGAAGTAATAAATATATATACAGAGATGTAAATAGGTTGTAAAACAGGGAGTAAAAGTATATAAAGGCAAAATGACAACACGATGAGCTGAAGAGCTCAACAGTTCATCAGTCTAATGGTCTGTCCCTGACCCCTGTGGTGCGGGATCAGATGCTGCGGTACTGTCTGCTGGACAGTAGCTGGTAGGACAATTTGGGTCTGGGGTCATGGGGTATCTGATAATCCTGCTGGCCTTCTTCCTGCACTGCTGGGTGTAGAAGTCCTCCATGGATGGGAGCTACGTCCTGGTGATGTGCTGAGTAGTTTTTGCCACCCTCCAGTCAGGGCGCTGCATCTGCTATACCAGGCGGTGAGAGGTCAAATGGTGAGTTCATTTGAATGTTTTTTTAATTTAATGCTTTGAAAACAGGAGTTCATAAAAATCTACATTTAAGTAAATATTTTGCAAGTAGAATCAAATTGTTAACAATATATTCGACATTACAACCTTTGTTTCATTCATGTGTTGTTGCACAAACTTGACTCCTGTTTTTTAAGAAATTGTATGAAGGCAATATGCTCATTATTATTTGATATGAGATATGAGTTTACAGTTAATTACAATTACACTGCAGCGCTTACCGCGTTGATCCTAAACACCTTAGTATCTGTGAAGGCCCACGCCCGGTGTCTCCTGTGGGTACAAACAAAGCTTACTGTAATGCCGAGCCAGTAACTACTCACATAGGTAAAATCACGACATGGCAATCATCATCCTCCCATTCCTACATGTAGCGGTCAGCAAAAGTAAATATTGGCACTGTGCAACACAATAGCCTGATGGGTCCATGAGGAATGAGTGTTTGAATACAGCTCTGAGAACAAGATACTGAACATACTGCAGATTTTTGGAGGCATTTCATAAATTAAGTAGACCATACGGTGCTGATGAAAACAAGGGCATCTACTGAATGTGAACTGCTTCAACAGCATTAAAATGCATGATTTTCCATTGCCAATACAAAAAAGAAAAAAAAAAATTACTTGAATTGTTATCTTGTACTTAGATATAAGCACAATTAATTATTTTAAAAATAATAACAACACAAGATAGTGGTATCATGTGGTGAGATAAGGGGTGATTAAGTTGTGACCTCAGTGAAAAGAGGCCGATAACATCAGTAAATATACTGCTCTGGGCTTCCATATATGGAGTGATCACTACCACCTGCTGAGGGATGAGTGGAACTAAACCCAGTCTGCTATATATGTGAGTTTACACATTTATAGTGCAAGTCGGTATCAGCTTACATACATTTGACTGGAGAATGAGTGTGTGTTGGGGTGGGTCAGTCAGTGAGCCTGTGTGTGGGCGGGGGCTTTGGTTTGGGTCCCCTGACACCCTTGGGCCCCAAAAACATCTCAGCGAATGTAGCGCCCCCCACCCCTCCAACCCCCCGACGTCACGTCTGGAGGCTGGCTGCTCGCGCTGAGCTCACTCTGAGCTCACTCTGTTCACCTCCAACAGAGAAACTTTCCTGGAGTTCTCAGGCTATTCTGACTGCGGACCAAGTCCAATCCTGCTCAGAGAAAGACGCAGCAGTTCGGAGGGCCTCCATGGTGTAGGAAGGAAGAAAGCGGAGCTACATTCACTTCTACACCCGAGGGACGTTTACATGCCCATTATTTATAATTTTCTCAAAGTTTCAAAGTAAAAACAACGTTTTTTCTTCGGTAGCATTAGCTTATTTAGTGTTTTAACATACCGTGCTGGAGGTCGGCAACGTTACCTACAGGGACATGCTCAGGAATACAATCGTTTTCCTTGCTTGTAAGAAGTGAAAGGAGTGTTTTTACGGAGCCGAAAGTAACCTGGACCTTTTTTCCCTCAAGTTTTTATTTTTCATTTGACTTGATATTCGGTGTGGATATGGCTCGGATAAGATGGGGCCTCTTATTTTTGTTCGGCTTCTTTCTCGCCCCTGTATGTGTGTCAGCGGAGCAGCAGCAGAGCCGGGGCGGCTTCAGGAGGCTGTACGTGCTCCAGCCCGGCCCGGGGTCGGCCGGAGCGAACGGCGGGGTGCGAGTCAGCTCCATCGCGACGCGTCACGGCGCAGCGGGGCAGCCGCACACGTACAACGTGGAGCTCACCGCTAACTTCGGCGGCCAGGTCCGGACCCGCAGGATGGGGAACCAAGCGGCTACAGCCCCGCAGTTCAGTCAGCAGCAGCCGGTCGGTCGGCAGAGCGAGCAGGCGCAGAGACAGCAGAAGCAGCTCATGAAGCTGTCTGGGTAAGAAACTCTGGATAAGTGTCAGGAGGGAGGAATGTAGGCTAGTGGGAAAATGAGAAGGAACTTAATGACTTCCTGTGATGTCATGACCAAACAAGCAGTACACTTTAGGTAAAGTATTTGAAAAGTAACCTACGCTTTACTAGTTGGGCCACTAGTCTGATAAGGTTATTAGCCTTCAGCCTAACTTATCTGAGCGGATCAGCTCTATGGTGCTCCCTCAGTGTACTCAAGAACACCAAATGTACCATTGTTACCATGTGCCGACTTCAGTGACACTAATTGCAGTTGACAGTATTGGTTTGTGTTTGCTAGCTCCCTCACTGGGCTGGTTCAAACGGTGTGACCTGTTAAATGAACAATGATGAATGATTGGTGTTGGTCTCAATGAATGCTGATGATATTGTCTTAATGTTCTACAATGCAATTATTCCTAACTCAAAGGCAGATGAATTCCAACCTTAGATAGTAAAATGTATTTCAGTGACTCACCACTCCATCCAAAGCACATCTAGTGCCCAACGTAGAATGTGCTTGAAGCTGTGAATCACTGCCATACAGCATGAGGATCTATGTAGTGTATTTATACCAGTAGGTATGGATATGTCAAAGGTCACACAGCAAATCGGCATACATAGCAATTGGTCAACTGTTGTAAAGGCCCTGCACATTGTTGGTATACCAACATAGTTTTATGTAATAATAACTTCCTCGCAGCATATGCCTCTGCAGTTTCCACCGTCTCTAAAATGCTTCTCCAGAACTCCTGTTTAAGGTGGCGCTGTACTAAACAGCTGCTAATGTTGCTAGCAATAGATGCTACATTTCAAAGACTCAAACTGTGTTTTTGCAACAAACCTGATAATGTATTTACACGCTGATATTCTGTCAAGAAATTATCTTTTGGTCTGGTCTTGAAATGAGGCCAATTTGTCATTGTACAGTTCTGGAATTTCAAAAGCACAATTTTTTGATCCATCTTTCAGTTCAAACAGTGGTCACCTGCAACAACCCCTGCGTGGGTTTGCAGAGTTTTTAAAATCATTGGAAATCATCACCCACGTGAGCATCTAACTATTCATATGATTAGTTTGTAGACAAATTAAATATTTGATATTTATAATATTTTAGAGCATTTGAGTCAAGTGATCAGTTTTGAAGAAACCGTGGCCTCAAAATACATTTTTTTTCAATGACTGGCTTCATTCAATACACCTAATATTTTCCCCACACAACAGGTTACAGGCTGTACTTGGATTCCCCTACAGCCCACTTATATACACGATTGCTCAAATCAAAATCAGAACCAGTTTTATTGGTCTGCGTACACTAGCAATGATTTTGACAGCACAGAAATGGACATAGGAGCTAAGAACAAGGCTAAGAAAGCGTAACAAATAAAGGTAAGGGATAGACAGGACTATTGTGTATATGTAAAAAGAAAGATATGTGTCTATCTATCTATCTATCTATCTATATATATATATATCTATCACAAGTTGGCTTTTAAGTCTAATAAACAAACAAAATAAACTCAAAATGTGGAATATTCTTACACCTTTTCCTTGTGAACACCTTCTGAATTCAAGTTTTTCTCTTTCACCAAACTAAGACAGGCCTAATTTCCTTGTTAACTCATCTTAAAATACACATCATTCAAACTCAACAGAAACAACAGAAAACTAAACCATCTTGGTTAGTCCGTCCACTGTTCCAACAATCACCAACTCTGGTTTGGTCTAAATAAAACCTTAATTCACATGATGTGAAAGAGTTGGATGTGAAAAATGCTGGCTCTACGCGCTGTTTTTCTCCGCTGTACACAAGAGTTATTGCAGGGAGATTGTTTCTCACGCATCATGACAAGTGATGGCGTGTGGGAAGAAACTCTTGATGAGTCTTCCTGGGGAGACTCATCGCCGACCCGCATGAGGCCAATGGCTGTTGTGTTGTCTGCTGACTTTAGTAGTTGAACAGACGGGTCTCTTGAGATGCAGTCGTTAATGTAGAGGGACAAGAGCAGTGGGGAGAGTACACATCCCTGAGGGGCGCCAGTGCTGATAGTCCGGATGCTGGGTGTGGTTTTCCTCAGCCTCACCTGCTGCCTCCGGTCCGTCAGGAGGTTTGTGATCCACTGACAGATGGAGGCTGGCACAGTGAGCTCAGTGAGTTTGGAGCGGAGAATGACTGGGATGATGGTGTTGTACGCCGAGCTGAAGCCCACAAACAGGATCCTTACATATGTCCGTGGTTAATGTTTGCACAAATAATTTTTATTATTAACAATTCTGTATCTATAATTTATAATTCAGAGAAAACAATATCATAATAAATATGCTAAATCAATGCGGGGATAGGCACGAGAGCCGAGAAAAATGGAAAAGCTGTATGGAAAATGGATGGATACAGATTCCCAAAACCGTGTCAACTATACTTTAGACTTGTGTGATAGATACACAAAAAAATATTTTGGTGCAAGTTTGCATTGAGGAGATTTAAGTTACACATTCATGCTCTTTAGGTCGACCGTTATGCCTAAATGAGATTTTGGTTCAAGGTGAAGAAAAGATTATGATGTGCAAGAAACTCAACTACAAGATAAAACCCAGTCTGTGATCTGAGTGCAGAATTTTCCAAGGAAATCCCATCAATGTGCATTTAACTTCAAGTTTGTCCTTGTTTATTTTATATCCTCAAAATGATTATGCCGTTTTGAGTCTTGATTACTACCTGTTGGTATTGCAGCACTGAAATGTGCTGTATAATGTTTAGAGAGGTGGATGAGGCCGTTGATATCACAGTGTTTTTGAAACGCATTGTAAACAGAGTAAGAAGAGGAAAAACAACCAGTAGAGTAACAAGAGGCCAGCAGGCCATGGGTGGTCTGGCAGCTTAACCTCAGCTGCTCAGATTGTGGTCCATCAGAGCGTTTCGATGTGTGACTCGTGAATACAGTTCAGCTGGGAATTGCTGTCACCCTCACAAAAGCAAACGGCTCACTCATTACCAGGTTGCAAGGCTTTTTGTTGCTGCAGTTTCAATAAGAAAATGTCACAGAGTGGACATGTGCAGCAGGTGCTGCTGGTAATGCTGCCCATCACTGAATCAATGTTACACTAGCAATGTTTTTGCTAAGTGCTAAAGCAAAGTGAGTTCAGTTTAATGGCCCCCTGCCATTGATGCATGTTCACTGTTTTCATCAACTTTGTATTTTTCTTGGGTCATAGCTAAATGTGTGGTGACTTAGACATGGCAGCAAGAAAAAAGAAAAGAAGACAAAATGACTGGCAAGAAATGGCCAAACTCATAAATGCAATCCTGTTTCACAGCTGACTCCCAAGTGTTGGAGCGTCTCACCAGCACAGGAACAACCCTCTCTCATCCAAATAAATCCCCAAATAATGGGAGTCCCCGTAATGTTCACTCACATCACCCCGCTCAGACTGTAATATGTGCTGTATTATTCTCCACCTATAGTGTTGCAGAGTTCAGTTTCATTTTGTGTCTTGAAAGGTCCAAGGGGTGGTGACTCACGTTCATCATCTAAGCCGGTCTCTTTGATGATGATGCAAGTCGTGAGTTCCCGGGTCGGCCCAGCTTCCAACAGCCTGACTCAATCAAGTCTCTGTGGAACTTTTCCAAACCCAAAGTTTTGTAGTAAAACTAACCTTGTGAGATTCAGGTTGGCAGTGCAAGGCTAAGAAACCTACCACAGTTAACACTACACCTCAGATACCTCGTACCATAGAAAATCCCTGCCTTCCCCGTCATATTTAGTATCACAAGGCCAAACCACATATCATGAGCACTGTGTTTTGGACGGCACTCAAGTCTGGAAAACATCCGGTGAGAATTGTTGGAGGCCAGCAGATTTTGTGCCAAGTCAGATAACTATGATGGAACATTTATATGATGACGTAACTTGTCTCAAACCCCTTGAACCTGGTGGACAACAATTTAAACTAGGTTACAGAGCTCAAATGAAGCTTGACGTGGCCTGTTTTTAACCTACAATGTATTCAGAAACAGCCTGCAGCTTAAAACAATGATGTTCAGGCATGTGTACACTTTGAGTAAAAGAGATAAGTCATCTAATGTAAAGTTCTACTTGAAATGACATCTCTTCAAAGGTAAAGAGTAATCTTGTTTGAGCAAAGAGAAAGTTCTGGGGTAGGATCTTCAATTACAGCTCAACTCTTTTGTTTTCTGTTTGCAGGGTGAACGTCTGTGGAGGGCAGTGCTGTCATGGATGGAGTGCAGCTCAGGGATCGCAGCGGTGCACAAAGCGTAAGTGTACAGTACATTTCTAAACACATCAGCGTTGTGGAATATATTATAAAACATATTCGCTGTTGCAAATTAGTAAATGTAATTTTGGCTCCTTGTGTGTATTTAAAAAAATACAAAATGAAAGCTGGCACATGGACAATTGTTAAGTCTGCTTTATTCAATACCTGTCAGTTTTTGGGGCTTTATATCTTTGTTATCTCATGTCATTTTCCACAGAATACATAAAGGACTGTGCATATCAGTTTCAAAGCTGTTCCAACTACTTACACAATTTGTTCTTACATACAACAGTTTTATAATTGAGAAAATATCAAGTATTTTTTTGTGTGTGCATATGCATAAGTTAAGAGCAAATCTGTGCAAACATCCATTTCATGAATGAGGCCCAGTGTCTGGACAGTTTTTAATACCGTCTGACTGGAAAGAGCACGCGTCTCAGAGTGAAAGAGAAACAGATTTGAAATGGATTGTACCTCTTGGCTCAGGCCCATTGGTCAGATCACTTTCTTGTTTGCAAGGTCTTGCCAACTTGTTATTTAAGAAGTAAACAGGTTTTCTCCAGTGCTGTGCTCTGTTGGAGTGTCTAGAGGGAAAGACTGCTGAAGTTTTCTGGAGAGCACCAGGAGTCCCCCATGTTTCTGTGCTCAATAGATCAGATAGTCTGGCTCTGACAAGGGCTGTCACAATCGTTCCATTTTAGTTCAAGGATTCAAGGATCATTTATCGTCATTATGCAACACAGGGATGCACAATGAAATGCAGTTGTAGCCCATTTGCAACACAAGAGAAACATGACAGACAAAGGAAAACAGTGGTGCGTTCCTGTAGTGTAATTTTCTTTATTTGCGTCATAAGGAATGTAAACGGCAGCAATAAAAACAATTCTCTGGGCAGATAATATGGCCGACATCTTCACATTTATAAATGAGGACATGAGGAAAACCTTGTCAATCAACTCTGACTGTGTTTGAGCACCAAGCATCATGATAAACACAGAGTCCACCTCCTCTGGTCCCACCAGAGTCCTGCTCTCTGTTCTGTTGTCTGCCCAGGTCTTTGTAAAGATGTGGGCTCAATAGTCACTGGCCTCCCGTCGCTGGGTTAGCCAGAAGTCTTATTTCATCCATCCTATTTTCCTATGACCGAACCTCAGACTGCTACAAGTAGGCTGGGTAGTGGAGTGCCTCAGGTCCTAGCTGGGTTAGCTTAGCTTCCATCAAGGCTCTCCTCCCTCACCTCCCTGCGGCAGTTCGGTGGCGTTTGGTCCGGCATGTCTGGCTAGGTGGTCGGCCGTGGGCGTCTCGAGGGCCGCTGCACCTTTTCCAATGCTGAGTGTATTCTGTCATATGCCATAAGTACTCCAGAAATAAACACAAATTTCATCAAATTAAGACAAAAAAATGTAATGAAATTCATGGGAGCTACCGGCCACAGCATGTACATGCGCCACTGCTACCATAGAAAACATGTAATTGTCTTTTTCTGTTCATTGCATGCCTATATTATAGTCTAAGCCTGATAACCTAATAATAGTGGAACAATACTATTACAACTTATAAAATCAAAGAAAAACTAAAAAGTGCCCAAAGTGGTGCAGTGATTGTTGGCAAAGGAGTGTCAATTAGTCTAATAGTGTGTTCTGAAACAATGTTTCACCTGTCACTCTGCTACACAAGTTTATTTAAAAAACATCTTCTACAACTGTTGTAGACCAAACTAATGCAAAAAATAAGTTTTTTGTTGCATCAGGAGGACAGTTAAGTAATGTAGACGGATATACGCTTCATTTTATTTTCAAAAGTTCATATCCACAAGGGATGTTTCCATCCAAGCATTTTTTAGAGAATGATCTAATTAGAAAAGCTGGATGGAAGAGACAAAATTCAACAGAATTTCAGCAGTACAGCTTAAAAGGTTTGACACTCGCTGTCTGAGCAGCATGCATGGGAATCAATTACATCATGATAAGAGCCTGATTGAGTTAGCTGATTAGCTGAATGTTGGTCCTCCTTATTCTGGACTTTTGACAGTTCAGCTGAAAACCGTCCGGTTTTGATCTATATATAAGTGGATTGTGCAAGACAGTGAAGAAGTTCAAATATCTTCTTCTCCTTAGGGATCTCCTGCAGTTTCAAGATGGTTTCCTATTAGTCAAAGGTGCAAATTCTAAATTTCACGAACGGGACTCGATGACAAAGGTTAGAAATGGAGCACAAAATTGACTGCCGGATTGGTGTCATGTCAGTAGTCATGTTAATGCTCTACCAGACAGTCATGGTGAGGAAGCTGTGAATTCACTGATATTTCAGTAAATTCCAACCATCACCTATGGTCATGAGCTGTGAATGATGATGAAATAATGTGATCATGGATACAAGCGACTTAAATGAGTATTCTTTGCAGGGTGTCTGAGCTCACTCATAGAGAAAGGGGGAGGAGCTTAAGTAGAATAACTCCATGTTGATCACCATAACTGGTTCCATTTGACAAACAGCAGACCCACAACACACTGGCGCTTTCACATATACAATCTGGCCTGGAGCAAGTTGGGATCCTCCAATAAGGGCTAGTACATGTGTCTCTGTCCTACCTTGATTAGCCTCCTGCCACAGCCACCCATACCAAAGTCTGACTCATCGGATGTAGTGTGTGGATATAAGCATGCTATTGGCCGCGTGCCTCATACATCATTCTTCTCCCCTTCTGCTACTATTTTGAAAGGTTACCGTATGTGCATCCTGTACTTGGTGCCGCCCAAAACGATTGTGGTTGGTTGGTTGGTTCATAAAATATTTGGGTTGATGGCCAGCAGGACAATTAAAGTACAATTAACGGCACAGCAAGACACATTATGGCTAATATTGCACTAGAAATTCTTCCAGTTCCCACAACAGTTGTCCAAAACCCATTTCTTGTACCAAGCAAAAAAATGATGATCACAATTATTTTGGTCAATATTGACATCACGATTATTTAACATGATTACTCATTGACATTTATAGAAAGATGTATATATTTTAAAGTAAAAATGTATCAATCTAGGTGCACACACAAAATGTAGAGGCTAGATGAGTAACAATTTTACCGGCTGGCTTCCATTGCTGCATGAGTAGTTTTATTATGGTAATGATGACCTCTGAGGACAGTGTTACCATGGGTTTGCACTCAGAGCAAAGGGAGGAGTGAGTGGAGTGTACCGCTAGATGCCACTAAAAGTTACACTCTGTCCCTTTAATGGCCGCTAATAACTAAAGTATTAAGTAAACAACAATATTAGATCATCCTTATGTTGACATTAAGAGGGGACCAGACTGCATTCTGTTGAGGTTATGTTCTATGTTTGGACTTTTATTAATTTCTATTATCATAAATGTCAGTGTGATTATTTAAATGAGGTTTTCTTATACCTTTAATTACATTCTAATGTTTTCCTAACCTTTTAATACACAATGGATGTGTATAATGTTTAAGAGGACTTTAAAAGAAGGTCACAGACTTGTTCAGACTTGTTGTTGCTGCAGAAGTCAAACTCTTAACTTCATGTTATTAATGTCGGTCAGTCAGAATGTTCCTGTCCACAAATGAGATAGAAATGGACAAAGATGGATGTTTAGTCATTGCTGTACGTAGAGAAGAAGTTTCTTTTATTTGCTTCGTTCTTGGCAGCCGTAGTTAACAACATGTGATTCATCTGAGAAATGATCAGGAGACATTCCAGTTCCTCCTCCAAACTGGATGAAGTCAAATGTCGGCGTATTATTGAATTGCAGGGCAGAACGGCACTTTGTCGAATTCACCCAAAGTGAACACATCATGGTTATCTCGCAGACAAAACCTCTTTGTAACTTTGTGGAATCGCTCGGTTTACTTTCCTGAAGGAAGGAAGCCTAAATGTAAGAGACACATGATGGTGTACGGACCACAGCTTCCTATGTAACTGGGTATATGTTAACTTAAATAATAAAATAGAGGGATTATATGGATTGGTATCAAACACAGATCATAATCTACTGCAGACTGAGCAGGCTATGTGTTGCAGCCTTGCTCTACATTACCACAGCCTTCAGTGCAGCAGTTAACTGCACATGACAGTGCAGAGTGCGAGTAACTCAGAGTTCTGAAATCAGGTTGGCAAAATATACAGACAGTGTTGCAGCTGGTCTTGTTTGTTAGTGCTGGAGATCATGACGCCACATGTACATCTAATAGGGGTGCTGCCGTACCCCCCCCCCCCATAAGAAAGAAAGACATTTCTCCATGTGGGTTAGCTACAAGAAAACCTTCCAACTTGCTGAAAGTGGTTTTCTGCTAATTACTCAGTGGTCCATTATAGCTCATTATTGTATCCATCAGCAGCACTGACACTGGAGGGCTGTGTGCTGAATGCAAGTGTTATAAAGTGAAAGGGGAGTCACAATGACTGTTCAGCTATGTGCCTGACATCTCAGTTCACAGGGCAGTGGGGGAGTCAAGTCGATTAAGACGTGACTGTCGCTGGGTATTGTGTCTGGATGATGTCCACATTCACCCCTATTAACCACCTGCTGCACATACGAGCTCGCTGAATGAGTTATCCAACAGTGGAATGATTTCCTTCTGCAGGAGCTAATGGCCCGCAGCAGGTAGTAACGTCCCCCAGTATTCTCCAGCATTGGTCATCTCATTGTCAACAGGAGAGGCTGATTATCCGTGATAAGATCTGTTGTTGTTTCCTCAGTCTCTTTTTAATGGCTTTCCTTTACGGTAAGAATAGGGTACACTGGAAGATAGGAAAAGGCTGCTTGCAGAGAAATGCAAAGAATGCCTGTGTTAAAGACAGCGGATACAGAGATTTAACACACCTGGAGGCTATGACACAACAAGGAAATACAAAAAATATGTGAGGAAGTCAACAGCAGCTGGCCAGTATGATGTCATAAATCAAGTTTTCCTGTCAAGAAACAAATATGAGTGAAGAGTTGTCACAGACAGAATTATGACTAACCTGATATTCAGACTGAATTGACTTTTTCTTTCTTGATATTCAGCCTGACATCATGTTCATGTTAGTCAGTTCCTGTTTGGAACTATGTTTTTATTAAATTCTAGTTCTAGTAGTTTTACCAATCAGTAGTGAGTAACATGTCACGTCAACATCATCTCCATGGACAGTTCATGTTCAAAGAACCAAGCTGATTTAAGATTCGTTATTTCTGGAGGTTGACAACTGTGTGTCATCAACACTTTTGTGTATCACATGTTTCTTGTTACTTTTCATGGATGTAGCTGTATAGCTAGCTAGCTACTGTATGTAGGTAGATGACGTCCCTAATCTTAAAGAAACAGTGAAATAAAAAAAAGTTTGTGTTCTTATCCTTGAAAATCTGCCTTTTCTTATTCTCTAAAATGGTAAAATATTTTCAATGACTCATCTTAAATTCAGGAGCATAAACATTAATGTAACCAATGAACTATGATCGGGACAATAAGGTGACCTCATCCATCATATACTGTATAACTTGACTGTGGGTTGAAGGGTAGCAATATTATAGGAGGAGGTGTGTGTTTTAAATTGAGTTGGCACATTTCCAAAAGAGGGTGGTTGAGGTCTAATTTATTCATTTCTACCTCCTTCTCCTGATCTACATTATTTTGTGCTGGCGGAAGCTGGTTTGTTTACAACCCAATGAATGCTTGACTTGTCGTTGTTGCCTTGTTTGACCTTATTTTTTACAATGAATCCGCATTTCAAGGTGTCAGTAATTACTATGGTGAGCATGGCGTTATCATATCTGATAGAACTGATGAAAACATTGTAATAAACCATAATTTTCCTTTACTGGAAACTTGAAGGTGACTGAGTACATACACATTGCACAGAAGGCAGTAGGTGGGAGTTGGGTTGGGGGGCTCAGGAAGGTGCCAAAAGCAAACTTTTGCTCTGGGGACCTTTAACAGGTTAAACTGGCCATGTACTCTGGGTAAGACGGCAAACAACATTCACAAAACTGTTGAATCCTCCTTGTTAGGTTAGAATTGTTTTTATTTGTGTACGTGGTTCTCAAAGTCAAAGTGGATTCAGTGAATAGCTAGGATGTTTAATATGATTGGGTCTCCATAGTGTCATTGCTGGCCTATGGAGAGATAAGTGTATCTCTCACCCAGAGCATTAGTGAGGCCCATAGATTCTCAACAGACTGTCTTATCAGAGCTAATCTGAACTCTGAGGGCCAGCAGTGACTCAGATGATGTGGAATTCAAGACCTCATAAATCAATGTCATATCTTTCCACCGCTACCTAGTTCTGAATTTAGTGAACATCTGTCCCAGCCACATACAAGGTTAAACAGGCTGTTGCAGTTTCACGAAGTCTCAGCAATTTTCTCTCCTTTGCTTTGGAATTTTAAGGTCTTGCATCAAGGCAGTGACACAAAGAAAATCATTATGCCTCCCAGTTTCTGCTTCTCACCTTGGATCCCTACCACATGAACACAGCCGCACACTCACTCACACACACCCTAAGTATTTTTAACTCTTTCAGACCTCAGTGTGAGTGTGGAGTGGGACCCTGAGCACCCAGGCCCAGCACGGTTTCATCAAAAGGGCAAGGACATCAACATGACTGATCTATTTCTTGTCCCCAGCAAACAAGTAAATTACCATCACTTAGTCCATCACCCTTGTCACAGAACCAAGCTTTTATGTAGCTGACCTCAGTCTTAAGAGAGAAGAAGAGAGAAAACTATTCACAGAACAGATGGCAGCCTCAGCTCCAGGCCAGAGAGGGGTGGGGGGAATGAAGTCTATTTACGCTCGTCGGAAAAGAAAGCAGAAAAGCTTCGCCCAAAGTGGAAAATTAACTGGGGGGGCAGCAATGATGTCATCTTTGAGGATGATTCACTCAATAGAAGAGAGGTGTAACTCAACTGATATTAGATGTTTAAAGATGGGACGCATTGTTTTGGACTGAGGTTGCTGATGGACTATATATTGTGTTAATGTTCTGGAATTTGAGCATATCCATGCCATATAATTCATCAGTAGAGTCAGTCAGTGGAAATCACCACATCTAATTACGTAGAGTTGAAATTTGGTGAACTTAGACACAAAAATTTGTTAAAGAGTCGTTTTATTGCCTTTTTTATTCTTCCCGCAGCATTGTCCGGTGTGAGCTGGGTGGGGTGGTGATGGAGGAAACCGCTCTGGGGAAAAAGCTGTTCCTCAGCCTGTTAGTCCGGGTTTTGATAGTCCTGTATCTTTTTCCTGATGGCAGTGGAACAAACAGAGAGTGACCTGGGAGTGTGATGTCTTTGCAGATGTTGCTGGCCTTCTTCTGGAGGCGGCCAGCATACACAGTGTCCAGGTCAGGGAGGGTAACTCCCACAATCCTCTGTACTGTTCTAACCACACGGGCCAGGTCCCTCTTGTTCTCTGCTGTGCAGCTGGCATACCGCACAGTAAAGCACTGACAGAGGATGGTTTTAATCATGCTTCTGTAGAAGTTTACCAGAAGTTCAGGGAACAGGCTTCCTCAGGAAGAAGAGCCTCTGCCGGGCTTTCTTCACCAGGTGGGATGTGTTCAGGGACCAAGTGAGGTCTTCAGTAATGTGGAGTCCCAGGAATTTGATGCTGTCCACCCTTTACACCTCCATCCATTCATCCATTTTCCTCCGCTTATCCGGGGTTGGGTCGCGGTGGCAGCAGGCCAAGCAGGCTGACCCAGACCTCCCTCTCACCGGCAAAATGTTCCAGCTCATTCTGGGGGATCCTGAGGCGTTCCCAGGGCAGCTGGGAGATGTAATCTCTCCAGCGTGTTCTGGGTCTTCCCCGGGGTCTCTTCCCAGTTGGACGTGCCTGGAAAACCTCCAGTGGGAGGCGTCCAGGAGGCATCCTAATTAGATGCCCGAACCACCTCAGTTGACTTCTTTCGACGCAAAGGAGTAGCGGCTCGACTCGAAGCTCCCTCCTGATGACCGAGCTCCTTACCCTATCTCTAAGGCTGAGCCCGGCCACCCTACGGAGGAAGCTCATTTCGGCCGCTTGTAGCCGCGACCTTGTCCTATCGGTCACGACCCAGAGTTCGTGACCATAGGTGAGGGTAGGAATGTAGACCGAGTGATAAATCCGGCTCAGCTCCCTCTTCACCAAGACGGTCCGGTGCAGCGCCTGCTTTACTGCTGCAGCCGCACCGATCCGCCTGTCGATCTCCCGCTCCATCTTACCCTCACTCGTGAACAAGACCCC